GGTGCACATCCGTTTTGCAGATCTGGCATTTGTAAGTAAATTACCCTTTTTTTCAAACACGTTTCTCCCATTACCTCCAGTTATCACTCTAGAGTTCTCATTCTAACTCCTGTTAATACTCTAGAATTCTCACTCAAACCCCTCTCATGTTACCTTTCTCACATTCTCATCGTACCTCAATCCATCAAAATCCCAGATTCCACTTTTCATTGGACTTTTCGAAGTTGATTGTCATTGACCCACTTTCACAAATCAGAATTATCTGTCCCCCAAGAACTATCCATCTCATCCCGATTTGCAAGTATTGTCTTTTTATCCTATTTTTAGAGCAGCAGCCATTATACCTCCTTTTGTCCCTTCTTCTCACCCCTCTTGTCTTTTTGTTTTCTTTTCAACCTACCTTAGTTCCACCTTGTTCAGTGGCTCCCAGGTACAGTCCTGGAAAGTAAAGGCAGCCGGCGGAATGCTGACTCCATCCCCCACCCAATACCGATTGGTCAATAAAATATAGGTCTAGCCCTAAATGCCCAATAACCTGAAGCTGTTTCACCTTTTTCGCTCCATTTATCTTATCCTCCTGTCTTATACAAAACTATTGTTGTGTAAATTTTTAATTTTTTTATATACACACACACACACACACACAGACACACACACACTCACGCACGCACGCACGCACGCACGTACGCACGCGCGCGCGCACGCGCGCACACGCGCACACACACACGCGCGCGCGCGCTTTTTGGCCAACCTAATGACAGCCAAACTAACAACGGCCACAAGCTAAAAATTTCGAGAAGCACTGTTAAGGAGCCAGCGTACAGCAAAACGTCAATGCAGAAACATAATCATGAGGATAGCGTTATGCATACCCATGGCCATGCATACTTAAAGTAGTTCACAAAGCAAGAAAGCAAATGTGTCTATTCCATGTTAGACTAGACCCGCTCTTGGCTGCTGTGTGGCGTTACATGGCTTTAAAAGAGAACAGGTAAGATGTGCTGTTTAATTGATTCTGTACAAAATAAAGTCACAATGCATTTACTGGTTTTTGCTTACTTGATATTAATTATGTGGCTTCTTGTATCTCATCAGTCAGGCGCCGTCTTTACAATGAAAGGTTGACTGCATTGGATCACAAAAATACCTAGTCTGTCGCTCTGGATGTGCACTCTCAGACATCTGTTTGTATGTCTTATCTTTCCAACTGTACCGCTGTCTACCTCCTGCTAACCTATCTTCAACTTTTCTCTCTATCGCCGTTCTCAACGAGTGTTCTGCAGTACAATTTGTCACACTTATCTCCTCTATATTATTAGTTGCGTATCCTTTACAGGACGTTGCAGAACCAACCCCAGCACTTTCTGGCTGTATTGGTTTGTCTTGGCAAATTTACGTCCAGTAGTTTCCCATTGCTTCCTGGACGATCGGCTCTCGGTACTACGGTCGAAACCATAGCAAGACAAACCGTCCGCAGCAGGGATCGAACCCGGCACCCCGACATTGCGAATCGCGTTCGCAATGCCTTAGCCTATTTACATCTTGTTATTTTAACTTTTTTTTTTTTACTCATAGTTTTCACATTTAAAAAAAAAAAAAAGGATCACTCCACGCCCTAATGCGTATTGGGTATACAGGACTACACCTATATTTTACAGACCAATCGGCACTTGGTGAGTTATATGGTCATAATCGCGCTTTTTAACATTTTAACGCATAGAAACTATTTCATTTGTTATAATCAGTCTTTCATATTGATGTTCTTCTAATTACTGATATCATTCTCATGTTCATATTGTTGACTGCCTGTGCTCTCTTGCCTTCAACTTTTCCCTTCAGTTTTTTGTTTTGTTTAAATAACAGTATGTTCCCGCACTATTTTTTCCTGCCTTTTTGTCCTTTTCCTCAGCAATCTACTTCCGGTTCCTACGCACAGAAACTTTGCACAGAACGTCTATGTAGCTTCTACTTTACTTTCGCTAATCTGCTGATTGTCTATGACTATGCTATTAGTGCCAAACGTGGACACTTACATCCTCCAATGAATATAAAATTGTGACAACAGAGATAAAATGTCATAGAAGAGCTGCAGGAGTTTCAATGAAAGACAAAATAGGAAATCACAAATCAGACGAATGTTAGGAATAAAGCCAGTCTTACAAGTCATCGAAGAACCACAAATGAAGTGGTTTTAACACCTAACAAGAATGCCCTGGTACTATCTGCCACAGAGAGCTACACTAAAACGTTACAACGGGTATAGAGCGAACGGAAGACCTCGGGGTATATGGAGTAATGGTATTCGGACCAGTCTTACAGAAATTAACATCAGTCTTAATAGTGCTCTTGAACGAGCTTAACAACGAATGTTACATCTTCCCCCGACACTTCGCTGAAGTACAAGGTGGAAAAGAAGAAGAAGAAGAAGCTGAAAAAGAAAAAGAAGAAGAAGAAAAAGAAGAAGAAGAAGAAGAAGTAGAAGAAGAAGAAGCAGAAAAAGAAAAAGAAGAAGAAGAAAAAGAAGAAGAAAAAGAAGAAGAAGAAGAAGAAGAAGAAGAAGAAGAAGAAGAAGAAGAAGAAGAAGAAGAAGAAGAAGAAGAAGAAGAAGAAGAAGAAGAAGAAGAACAAGAAGAAGAAGAAGAAGAAGAAGCAGAAAAAAAAAGAAGAAGAAGAAAAAGAAGAAGAAGAAGAAGTAGAAGAAGAAGAAGAAGAAGAAGAAGAAGAAGAAGAAGAAGAAGAAGAAGAAGAAGAAGAAGAAGAAGAAGAAGAAGAAGAAGAAGAAGAAGAAGAAGAAGAAGAAGAAGAAGAAGAAGAAGAAGAAGAAGAAGCAGCAGCAGCAGAAGAAGAAGAAGAAGAAGAAGAAGAAGAAGAAGAAGAAGAAGAAGAAGAAGAAGAAGAAGAAGAAGAAGAAGCAGAAAAAGAAAAAGAAGAAGAAGAAAAAGAAGAAGAAAAGAAGAAGAAGAAGAAGTAGAGGGAGAAGAAGCAGAAAAAGAAAAAGAAGAAAAAGAAAAAGAAGAAGAAAAATAAGAAGAAGAAGAAGAAGGAGGAGAAAAAGAAGAAGAAGAAGAAGAAGAAGAAGAAGAAGAAGAAGAAGAAGAAGTTGTCTGTCATTAACCCACTTTCACAAATCAGAATTATCAGCCCCCCCCCCCCCCCCCACCCCCTCAAGAACTGTCCATCTCATCCCGATGTGCGAGTGTTATTGCCTGGAAAAAGTTGGGGGGAAAGGAGTAAAGGACGCTACAGAAGAGCAATATGAAATTAACACAAGGTGCACAAACAAGCAAAGGACAAGCAACTACATCTAACTCCTCTCTACAACGCTTTGCGGCGGACACGATAGGACACACACAGAGACACACACAAGAGGAATTGCAAATTCTGGGAGTGAAAATGTTAAAGATGACAAATACAATTTAGAAGAAGTTTTGATTTGGGATCTTACTGTCGTCTACTGAATTCTCAAGAGCAATAAATCCTTGGATATTTATCAGTGCCTCGAAAGGACGCGAAAAAGTTGAAATCAAGATACACGCAAGACAACAGAGAAATTGAAAGGCATACGTAAACCGAGATGTATATCATACACTTGCACTCTTAATGGGAATGTGGCCAAACACTTGATAAATTTCATTTAATGGCTTCTAAGATTGAGCTTTAATATTTACAGCAAGGAAACATTAAAAAACTTTTACAATCTTGAGTTACACTGTAAATGAGGTGAAAATATAAATTGTTATAGATGTGATGATGTTCTACGATGTTTAGAAGCATGGCTGCAAAGTTAGAGAGATGATGGAGTAGAGTACGGAAATAGAGGCATTCTGAAATGTCAGCAAAATAAAATGCTGACACACAGACTCTCTCTCACACGCATACACACAAACACACACACTTATATATATCATTTTCAAATGCCTTGCCAGCTGGCGTAGGCGTTCACGCATCTCTACAGATCTCGGTCTTTGGTGTTCAGGATCAATTCCACTGATGATATTCCTCCATATCTTAAGCCATCCACAATCATTTCCCTCTTGGTCTCCCATGTCTTTTCTACTAGTGATCTTTCCAGTCATCGCGATATTCTTCCCATGACTAAAGAACTTTGTTTCCTTCTCATTGTTGTATATAAAGTTCTACTTTCATTAGCAATTTCCAAGCAATCATTGTTAGTTATTCTAGCAGTCCAAGGTATTCGCAACGATCTTCTCAAACACCACATCTATGTTGCTTCCGATATATATATATATAAACTATATATTAACATTTTTAAGTGAGTTACACATCTGCCGTACTCACAATAAAGGTTAGCAGGAATGGAGCTGCACATTTGTTATCCTGGCTTTCATTCTCAGATCGCTGCTTGTTGTTGCTCATTTAATTGATTGGCCACCATCTTTAAGAACAATACAGTAGTAATGTGTGCAGCACATAAATGTCGACTGGTTTAGAAAGTATAAAACTAGCATTACGTATTCAACATGTAGCTATGCATCGAAACAGATATTTTTTCCGAACCTTATTTGTTAGTTTGGAAATTTTAAAGACTACAACACTGCCATTAAAAACAATTTGTCAAGCTCAATATCGATCTAGACATGTTATCATTAATCAAGGTTTCAATGGCCTAGATGAGCACTACCCATCCCCCCCCCACACCCTGCTTTTTTTTCTTTCTTTCTTTTTTCTTCACCGTCCGCTCCCTTCAGAAAAAAAAAAAAGACGAAAGCAATAACATTTCTGTTATTTTACACTCGAGCTGAATTTCAATCTTGTACAGACTGCCCTCAATGCCATAGTTCGATCTACTGCAAAATGTTTCCTTTGCCATGTGTCTATAATTTGTTCTGTGACATTTCCTGATTGCTTCTACATGTGTAGTCTTATAAAACTGCCAGACGTTTCATCATTATGCATCTCATCATAAACATAATAATTGTTTGTTTCGCACCTGCAGGTTTTAAAGGCAACACCCTAAACACAGAAGTGTATTTCTGAAAATGTTGTCACTGATATTTCTAATAATGGTTGCCTCCACGATGAGTCAAGTGGCTACACCCCCAAGGAAAGTAGGATTCTCCTATATTCGCGGTCACCCCTTTGCTAAAATACACTTGGAAGTGTTCCTGGATCTGCTATGTCCTGATAGTCAGGAAGCCTGGCCACATCTTAAAGACGTGGCCAACTTGTATGGTCCAGAGAATGTGGCATTAACGGTTCATCTCTTTCCTCTGCCGTACCATCAAAATTCCTTCTATGCCACGCGGGTAAGTGAGGATTTGCCTTCGTTTTTCAAGGGGTTTTTTTTCACGTTTCCCGGCTCATCTACACACTGGCTGACCTTTCATTCATACACTCTCAGACTCTACTACGACGGAGGGGTGTCACGTTGTCTTGCCCCCAATTACATCAGCACCGATGTCGCGTGTCCTATATTACGCGACGACACGGCTGTCAACGACCCCAGATCATCTAGAACTGGCCCTAACCCAAACCCCCCTACCCACAGCCTCAGCCTAGATCACACGAGAGACTCTTTTCGAAGAAAACAGTATAACGTGACACCCCTCTGACCTATATCAAACTGAGAAAGTTTGTCGATGGGCCGGGAAACGAGAACAGGCCCCAAATGTAATAATTATGCAGACACGGTTGCACGCGTGGGTTCCTGGGCATAATTATAAGAGAAATCTTTTTTCTTCCTTTCCGTTCTCCGACTAAACTCTGGTGTAAAGTTCTAGTTTATTTGTCCATTTTCTTGCTCCAGAACTTGAATTTTGCGTGCACGTTCGTTTAACAGATTTGACTTAACGAACGAATAAATAAACGAACGAATCTTATCTTTTAAAAATCCTAAATTGCGCATGCAGGCTTACTCGTATGCAAACTGTAGAGACACCCTGATTTCCAAAGAAAACCCCCTAATTAATTAGTCGACTTTGACGGCATACTTTTTGAGGAGGCAATTGGTATTTCACCCCCCCCCCCCCCACAGAACGCACATGGATAATTTGTTTTTTTTTGGGGGGGAAAGGGGGAGGGTGCCGCGCGGAAGGGGGGGGGGCTGGGTTCTTATTCTGATGTAAGGCTCAAAACACTCTGATTGACCTTTCATTCATCCTTGGTCAAGCTAGTCTATGTTACAGTGGTGTCACGTTGGATTGTGTCCAGCGATGACGCGCCTACTATATTACACAATGTGACCGCTTTTAACGACCCCATATATAGATTTTTTCCTAACCCTAAGCCCACTTCGCCACAGCCCCAGTCTACGTCCCACGAGAAAGTGCAGCCTACGACCCATGGATTCCGAACTGTTCAAAATTTGTGGTGAGTAAATTCATGTAGTACTGTCCGAGACAGCTATAATATACGCAACGTCGCTGGCAGATGCTCACAAAAACGAGTAACACACAACGCAGAAAGCTTTGCGAAGACATCACAACATGACATCCCTGTAACATAGACTAGCCTGAGCAAGCATGAATGAATGGTCAACAGCGTATTCGGGCCGAAAATCGTAAAAAGAACCGAATCCACTGTCCCGCTCCTTCTTTTTCACAATTGTGCATGTCGAAAGAGGTTTAACCGGGAAGGCTAACCACGTCAACAAATGCCCGCAGAAGTCGGATGTGTTGGCCGAAAAGTGCAAATATCGCAGCCATGCTGTAAACGGACACAACGCAATTACATCTTCAGATAAACGCAGAGGAGGAGGAGGAGGAGAAGAAGAAGAAGAAGAAGAAGAAGAAGAAGAAGAAGAAGAAGAAGAAGAAGAAGAAGAAGAAGAAGAAGAAGAAGAAGAAGATGAAGAAGAAGAAGACGAAGAAGAAGAAGAAGAAAGAGGTTTTGTTGAAGTCGTAATTATTGTTTCAAATGGTGTATATTTCACAGTCTAGATTTTAAACCACAACATTACGTGCCAACCTATATTTTAAACGCGAACGCACAAGGACTTGAAGAATACATTTTTGCGCTAACAAAAAGCTTGAGTAACCTTTACAGACTTTTTTTTACCTTGAAAAGATGTTTATAAAGTCTCCTGATTAAAGTTAAAGGTTAAAGTCGAGAGAATCGACTTCATTGCAGCAGGTTTTATCCAATATATGGCTCGGCCTCTCTCCGAGAACGGCTAGCCGTCTGCCAGAAGCTTCGCACAGAGCACGAAGTTCGACGATCCCCAGATGTCTCTGTTAAAACTGCACTCGTGAACTGAACGGCGCTGCAGTGAAACGAACCCACGATCTTTAAAGCGCGAGGCAATCGGTTTGACCACTTCGCCACTGGGACCCTAAATATCCCCTGACTTGGCCAGAGCTATTTTGGCTAAGTTAAACGTCATGGTGACTTGTGGGGAGGGGGGGGGGTGGCCCTGGAGGGTGGATTCCAGATCTGAAGCAGAGGCCGACTTCTGTCTTTCTCTGTCTCACTCTGCCTCTCTTTCTCTCCCTTTTTCCGCTGTCGTGTACTCCAGTTTTCGTCTTCTCATCCCATGACCAAAGAATGTCGATTGTCTCTATCTGTGTGTTCAGTCGTGAGTCTGATTCTTTCAAGACATCATCATGACTCTTGTTTTATCTGTCCAGGGTGTTCTTATCTTTTGTGTACAAAACCACATTTCTGCCGCTTCCAAATAATGTTTCACTAACTGGTCAACTGTCCATGGTCCTCGTCTATTCCAGTTCAATTCTTTTAATGGAGATAATGGAGTGTTCGAGTGTTTGAAGTAGGTGTGCATCTGCCTGAGAGGTAAGGAACCAGCAGTCTGCATACAAATGAGTTAGTCCTGTAAAACGGATACACACGCAACCCTTAGGTTCTGGAACAGCACTGCAGTCCAGAAGTGGACGAACAACCATAATTTTCTGCCGGAGTTTGCAGCTGGTGAACGCAACGAAGAAGAAGAAGAAAAAGAATTCTTTAGTACGCGCAGATTTTGTCTCTCTTATCTGCCATTCTCGCTGTATACCCTTAACTGTTGCAGTTGATTAGGCCTCACAATACCTGCAATTACAAGTGTTTGAAACAGATTATAAAAATCTCCGTCTTTTTTACACTCACGCTCCATCCACCGATGAGTGCATCTTTGGTGGCGCCAACTACTTTTCCTAAGACTCAGTTCTCACAAATGTGTTATAAGTCTTCGTCTCTTTAAATGTACTCCAGCTTTCAGAGCTACACATGGCAATTGGTTATGTCGGCGTTTTATGTAACGTGCTCTTCATGTTACAGGATAGAGTATTTTATTTAAGCAGATGTTGAATATTGAACGTTGAATTAAGAATCGATACCAAAGCACTCGGGACACTTGAATTTTTTTTTTTAACGTATCCAGAATCCATGAGTTGTAAACCCTTTGGCTCGGTACTATGGATATCGCAACCCCCAGGCATTGATTCCATTATAGGTACCGTTAATCTGGGAGAAATGTGGCTTTTCTGCCTACCCCCGGGAGTAAACCCGGACGACAAGGAGTTCGTCACCCGGCCGCCGCGAAAGTCAGGTTTAACCAACTTCGCTAGAGAGCCGGGCGGACACTTCCATAAGTGCTCTGTCGATATCTTACGAAGTAAGCAAAGAGTTCCAATGCCGATGGTACCAGTAACCGTCTGATTGTATATCCATCTCATCCTTCTCCTGGGTGTTAAGCGTCGGTCAGATCCCCTGGTAACCCCTCGCAGCGCCATTCTCCTTAGACCGTAATCTGCCTCCACACAATCTATTTTAGCCGATGTTGTAGGAAAAGATTGGAATGCTGAAGAAGCGTATTATATGGACCCCTTAAGGTTCTAACATGTATTAGTTTAAGCCACACCTGCTTGTGAAAAGAGGGGTTAAAGAAACAGAGGGGTTTAAGAAACAGACGGGTTCAAGAAACACAGAGGTCAAGGAAACAGTGGTTGAAGAAACAGAAGGGGATGAAGCGACAGAAGGGTTGAAGAAACACATGTTATGGACTAAAAGTGTTTTTTTCCGGTGAATATCCCAGATTGTTCCTAAACATATTCTCTTTTCTGTTTGATTTCAAGGCTGCATATGTCGTCCACTATTTGACCAACGGAACAAAGACCTTCGATTGGATTGATAAAATCCTGCTAGAAAAGCTGCCCGAACTTGGGGACAAAGTTTTCCACGACAAATCAGACGCCGATCTTTTAGAGTTAGGTCATTCTTACGTATACGTATTTATTTTTTTCATTTGCTCAACCTTTTTCAGGACAACAAGCTACAACAATTAACATGTGGTGGGTCACAATATAATCATTTTATAGTGTGAAAGAAT